CTGAAGAGCCTCAACCTCAATAGGTTCTGTTGCGCACTGAAGAGCCTCAACCTCAATAGGTTCTGTAAAGAATCTATTCAATAATAAATTCTTTGGAAGAAAAGTTGCACAAAAATCACGTTTAGTACATCAGTAAAGTCTAAAATTCACGATTTCTTAAACAATTTGCTCATTCCGAATTGCCCAGTTTCAAATTGCCGTTTTGTGGATACTTTTTTTGAGTAGGGTAGAAGTGAAATCGATGACATGATTTTTTTGAGAAGCGTGGGCCGCTACCACTTATCCATCTTTGTCTGCTTCTTTAACAACAGTAGAACGGTGGCCGATGGGGCAAATTTGAGACCTCGCTAAGGACCCTCTATAGATGAGAAAAAAAGTTCCGCTTTGAAAACCGTATAAAATTTCCCAATGACTGAACTGGGTATCATTTTGGACGAAAATTTCTCTCTTTCCCAAAAATGTCCTCGCCAGTCATATGCGACCGGTGGATCGTATTATCGGGCAGACTAGAGTACCTTTCTCCACTAGAGCTGAGAGTAGAGACGCATCGGTGACACGCTCTTGCTTACTGATGATCTGCGGCAGGATTTTTGTCAACCCAATCCTTCCGAGCCAAGAAGGAATCTCTAGAGTACCTTTATAGACAGAGTATGGCCATTCGTATCTTTTTACTGCAGGAAAACTGCTGCTTTTTGATTGGTCAACGAGTTTTTAGGCTTCATGATGCTCCTACGGCCGTAAATAAACAAACAAGATGGCGGCTCACCGTGACAGTGATAGGAAGCTAAAATTTGACAAAAATTTCAATTATTCGGCAGTAACAATTTAGATTAGCATATCTACGAATAACACCTAAAAAACACATGAAAATACTGTTAAATCGCCTTTCGCCTATATCACAGGAGGATGTAAGATGTGCGTAACCTCAAACTTGCTTGCTGATAACAGCCGTTTTGTTTGTTTATTTACGGCCGTTAGAACATCGTGTCAGCCTATTTTCACGCAACCAATGAAAAACCGGCACAGAAATGGCCATATTCTGTCTATAAAGGTACTTTAGGGCAGACTTTTCACCCGTTTCTCTTCGTCTCTCCACTGACGTATGGGCGTATCTCGATTCCTGCATGAGCTCCAGAAAGTATTGATTCATGTGTGAAACTGGGCTCTCACGTGGCAATTGAGATACACCCTTACGTCAGAGGGGCGACGCGACTCTTGAGATCAGAAATGGATTTTTTTGGTGAAATTGGGCAGAGGAGCGCGCGTTTCACACGTGATAAAGCGTACAAGTGGAGGCGTCGCGAACAATCCTTAGGAAGTACGTCAGCGGCTCGGCTCGGCGCGACGCTACGCGACGCGGCGGATTCTTTCGAGTTTCGGGCGGCGAAAATGCATTCATCATTGGCGCGCGGCGTGCCGTCTGTCGCACTGTCGTACGCGCAATCCATATTTTTGAATTTATTACGGCTCCGTGGACTCGAGCCCCACTCCGTTGCCTCATTTCAAGCCCTGAAAATCGACCGAAAGCGAACGCACAGGGTGTCCTGAAAAAAGAAGCTGATATTCCAGGGGTCCAATCCTCGGGGTCAAAATCAATGGTTTTTTCCAAGGGTATTTGGCAGAGACGTAGAGAAACCCTCAGTTGTTATCTTGGCGATGGTAGAGTACCTTTATAGACAGAGTATGGCCATTTCTGTGCCGGTTTTTCGTTGGTTGTGAGCAAATAGGCTGACACGATGTTCTTACGGCTGTAAATAAACAAACAAAATGGCTGTTATCAGCAAGCAAGTTTGAGGATATGCACATCTTACATCCTACTGTGATAAAGGCGAAAGGCAATTTGACGGTGTTTTCATGTGGTATTTGCAGATATGCTATTTCAAATTGTTACCGCCGTATAATTGAAATTTTTGTCAAATCTTAGTTTCTTATCAATGTTACGGCGAGTCGCCACCTTGTTTGTTTATTTACGGCCGTAAGAGCATCATGAAGCCTAAAAACTCGTTGACCAATCAAAAAGCGGAACAGTTTTCCTGCAGTAAAAAGATACGAATGGCCATACTCTGTCTATAAAGGTACTCTAAGCAATGGTAGAAGCCTCAGAAAAATTTCCGCGAGTGGATTCGGTCGACTTTAAGCGAATTTTATTTAAAGTTCCGAACCTCTTTGGGAAGTTCTGTCCCGGTTTGTCTCATCAATCACCAACACCGCAGTGGACACCGTTTTTACCAGATTCGACCAATCAGATCAGTTGGTTTTCGGTAGGTCGAACCTTTTTTAGAACCACCTCGCGAGGTGGTACCAAAATCACGCACCAACGCAACGTTGCGATTCGTTAGTCACCGAATCGGAAGTTCCGAACTCAAATAGAGTGACAGCTCGGAGGTTCGGGCACAAAAGTAGTACCGAATCTCTAAATAAAATTCGCTTTTTTTCAACTAGATCGGCAGGGCTGCATTAAAGAAGAAAAACGTTCAGTCGAAGTCAAGAGCTAAATCAGGTTGCTTGATGTTGATGATTTTGTCCAACGTTTAGATGCATCCACCTGTCATGGAAACAGCATGTTATTGACGCACCGCACCGTTTTCAGGAGGAATTTAGTTTTTTTTTGTAATTGAGGCTAGCAGTAAGTCTCAACCGAATTCACCGGTGGAAAATAGAGTTTTTGTTAGAGAGAGTATTATCACGTGCCTATGAGTTTGAATTGGTTACTCCATCTTGAGCTTCATCGAGCTCTTAGGATTCGTAAACGGCGGACGCTGTAAGTAAATGTAAATGAAAATACAAAAATGTTTATAAAGTTTCAATTTCATATAACAACGAGAACTTTCCTCAAATGCATTATGACGACATGTTTCCATAGTGTTACGGCCAATCGGGCGCCATTTTTGAGAAAGATCATTTTTTATGTAGTTAGGTTGGGAGCAAGTGCGGTTGGTGATAACTGTCAAAGTCAACTGCAATCTACCAGTCCAAAGAAATCAGCTCTAAAAGAAGCGTTTTTTAATTATGGAATATCCTGTTGACTCCAAGTAAAGTTTGGGGAATTTTTGATGAAGGGAGGGGAATATTTTATCACGGGAAGAATGCGTCATTTGCGACCGGATCTGTGAATAGAGGTTTTGTTGAGGTAAAAGTTTTCAGGGGAGGAATTTCAAGTGAACGATTGAAGTAAATAAAGTGAACCGACTCAACATTAAAGCACATGATTGGGTGTGCCGTCCTACTTCATCCATGCACAATAATTACACCAAGCGCACGTGCCTCGGATAATCAGGAAAATTCCAATCCGACATATGAAAAATTAATTTGTAAGTCATTTACCACCATTTTGGAGGAGGGCACTCATCCCCGGGAGTTTAATGATCTTGAAAATATTTCTTACAGAGTGCGCACCTAAATGTTGGGTTATTGGATACAGAAAACGTACAGATTTTGTTTTACAAGCGTTCTCTCCATCTGGGTCTGTAATTTGAATGATTTCATAAAAATTATCTGAATAGACATTATGGAATCTTACTCTGATTTCATCGACAACCTGGATGTAAAAACTTGAAACAGTCTTGATAAATGTATCAACTTCGTCTTACGGGGTTTTTTTCTTCTTTTTCTTTTAATTTAATTTAGGATTGATTCAGAGGCATTCAGACCCAAGCACACTTTATCGAGCGGTACAAAGAACCTTGAATTTTTTTGAGTCATTCTTACTGTTTGGAATAAGTTCGATTTTAAAATACAAGCCCATAAAACGTCTGATGAGAAATTCAACTTCAGATTTTAAAGAGCCACAATACTGGTTTTTCAGTCTGAAAAGTTTTATTGAAAGTATTTAAATAGTGGACCGATTCAGAAAGGATTTCCAAGTAGGCTGATGTGAAATTATTTGTTGAAATACTTGTTACATATCTGGCATTTTCGTAATTTGGGTTCATTTGACAAAATTTCCGGAAATGCAACAGAAGAGCAGGGCAGGGGATTGCTCAATAGAGCGCCTTGCACACTCTTCACGTGATAGCCTACGAGTAATACTGAGGCACAACTTACGATGTTCGTCAGTATTTTCTTCCTTTTGGGATATCTCAAAATTCTTTCGATTCGAGGGGCTGAGGTGAAGGCGGGTTGCTGGCATTTTTAAAAGTCATCAATTTCACGGGGCAGTTTTGCGCATGCATGTTTGGTAACCAAATGAATGAGGTGACACTGACACTTTACGGTCACCAAATCAGGAAAAAGTTCTTTTAACTTGGTGGATACTGAACTGTGGACACCAAAGTTAACACTAGAGGTAAAGTTAACTTTCCATGTGTCTGCACAGTAAGAAAGAAAGTTTTGCGCATGCATGTTTGGTAACCAAACGAATGAGGTGACAATGACACTGTTCGGTGACCAAATCAGGGAAGAGTTCTTTTAACTTGGTAGATACTGAACTGTGGACACCAAAGATAACTTTCGATGTAAAGTTAACTTTACATGTGTCTGCACAGTAAGAAACAAAGTTTTGCGTATGCATGTTTGGTAACCAAATGAATGAAGTGACAAGGACACTGTACGGCGACCAAATCAGGAAAAAGTTATTTCAACTCGGTGGATTCTGAACTGTGGACACCAAAGTTAACTTTAGATGTAAAGTTAACTTTAGATGTAAAGTTAACTTTACATGTGTCTGCACAGTAAGAAACAAAGTTATGTGTAGGTACCCGCCCGGCAATGGGCCGTTGCAGCAAGGTTGTAGTAACGTCGCAAAAAATCAAGTAACGTTCCTGGCCTACGTTGTCACAACGTTGGTAAAACGTTACTTTTGTCCGCGGAGCGCAACGTTTCGAAGTAACGTTGCCACAACGTTGCTTAAAAAGTAGTCCTAACGTACCTCACTAACGTTGTACCTACGCCGCGTAACAACGTCACGCTCTGCGGCCAAAAGGAACGTCCTCACAACGTTACTCTATTTTTTTTTTTTTTTTTTTTTTTTTTTTTTTTTTTTTTGCGACCTACTTAGTTAGGCGAAGTGGGCTCGCTCAAAGTTAGAGCTATGAGGGTGCGTTCTTCCGCGAAGGCCACCCAAAGTCCGTCATAACTGACATTTTGCCAACGCAATTGAGCATTTGTGGAGAAAAGCTCGCATACCTTCAAATTAATGTATTTATAAATTATCTGAAATATGACAATCAAATGTTGGAGTAATATCCCCCCTTGAGAAAACAAATCCTGAATTATGCCTTAATATCTCTTAGCATGCTTACAAACAAGGCGTTAGCGTTACTCATGTGTTTTCATATTAGCAAAATATGAAACGAGGAAACGTTTTACAATAGAAAGCTTTAACTTCAATTGTCAGACAAAAATAATGAAATTGAGAGGAAGAATATATATAATAAGTACAAAATTATAATGAGAAGAAAAACATTTATATTAATTATATTGACAACATTCAACTTAATAGGTCAACTATTTTTGTATTCAATGAGTTTGTAATAAATTACAATACCTTTTTTGAGAGGAGAAATAAAAGAGTGCAAAATCATGAAGAGAAGAAAAACATCTATGTTAATTATATTGAAAAATGCGAATACCTAGTCCAACAACGTCCAAAAACAAAGTCCTTTATTATAAATGAACGCTCCCGAATCATTGATTATGACCACTTTCTGAAGCATCAAGAAAACGAATTTTCAATGTCATACAATGGGTCTTTTTCAAATCATCTCTTCAGTTTTTTGAAAGTCATTTAATAAATCAGAAAATGCTGAAAAAATTACAGCTTGTATTTTAACTTTCTTATGCATTTAGAGTTGTTCTGATGAGGATTTTATTAGTCAAAAAGTTTTTAGGAAAATGTTTTAAGGGAAGAGAAACAAGAGATGTAACATTCTCCAAGAATAGGAGACAATATTACAAGTTTCCCTCATAAGTGGGAGATCGAAAACTAAAATTCTACACAATTACAAATGTATGAACACTTTTAAGGAACTATAGTTTTCCTGGGAGTTACAAAGATTCCCAGTCCTAAAAAAACACACATACACAAGTTTATCTCATCAAAATGAATATAAATACATCCAAGTTGAAAAGCACAAGAAATGAAGAGTCCAATGACAGAAATATACGTAAAAATACATCATATTAGTAAAATAGTACATAAATAATTCATAAAAAAAACAGAATTTCAGAAACTGTTTCAATAAGGTTCAGATTAAGAGTAATAATTGGATGGACAACTGAAGAAACTACAACACTGCTTCTTCCTCATCTGACGGAGGCAATTCAGCCGGTTCCTTCCTCTTTTTCCCAGGTTTGGCTTTCTGAAAATAAAGATACAAAAATTTATATTTTTCTGAAAATCAGATACAATTAGCACAGGCATGACTCCTCTTAGGCACAAAACACTCACTAGACTTTCTTAGTGAGAGTGAAAGCAGATTTTGGATTACAATTAAAATGAGCAATTTAAGGGGCGGCATCTATCAGGAGTTGGAATGTTACATTTTGCACTTATCAATGAAAAAAGGAGAAAAAATTGACGTGCTATTTGCAAATCATTAGATAATTGTCAGGTGGTTGCTGAATCTACGTTTATGAATAACGAAGGGACAAAATTCCGATTTATTCAAGAAAGAGGAGCTGCCAGGAGGAGGCAAATTGAATCTTCCTAGACACAGCAACAGAGAAGTTTAAATTTAAGGGAAAATTTCCATTTACCTGCGTGAGATGATTTTTGCAATATTTCAACCACGCCTCCACAGCCTCGTTTATTTCCTCGTCTGTAATTGTTATTTTGTTTTTAGTGTTAAATGCTGAACTGATGGTCTCTGCAGAAGAAAGAAAAATATGACTCATTTTCGGCTTAAAAAAAAAAAAAAAACTCAAAAAAATGGGTGAACAAGGCTAAGACAGAGACATAAAAACCTGGGATGTTTTGGGTTAATCTTAACCCCCTCTTCGACCATGAAAACAAAAATAAAATAAAAAAAATTACAAAAATATAAAAAACCTTAAGACCCCATTATCGTTTATAACAGGGAAAAAAAAGAGAGCCAGGTTTTTATGTCTCAGTTTTAGCCTTGTTTACGCATTGTTGTGTTTTTTCAGTTAAATAATTACCCAAAAATTTCAAAAAAAGAAAAAAAAACGACCAAAAAACTAAAAAATTACCAAAAGCCATTGAAAAAGAAAAGAAAGGATAATGCTATTTACAACAATGCGAAATCACTGTTTCGGTGAAAAGTATTAAAGTGTATGGATGAGACGTTTGGCAACTGAAGAAATGGACCCAAGATATTCAAAGAGCAACAAAGATGGGTTTGTGATAGTGATCAGGCATTTCTAGGAGAGATCAGGTGCGAGACAATCAGAGGCATGGAATCATGCAAGAGAATAATTATTTTCTCGAGGTGAGAACCGACTTCCTATTTGATATGGTCATGTCAACAGGATGGAGAAGCAATGAGGGTGTTAAATTAACATCCTCCTAGGAGAAGACAAAGCTCAGTGAAAGATTGGCGGCACAGGGTATGAACAAGGAATGAAGAACTGGCAGCTCCCTGAAAAGCTTACAACAGTTATGTACCGTAAAACGCAAAAGAGTGCTATCAGAACAGCATTTGCATATGGAAAAATTAAAAAAAAAAATAAAAGAAATTGTGAGTTCATGTAGTAAACTGCAAGCAACAACTTGAAATTCTTTTACCTTTAGGCACCAGCCAACAACTTGATCAAAATGCAACCAAACCAAACGCAAGCGTAATGAGACATAACGCCATAAAATAAATCTAATACCTTATCAGCTAATGCAGTTTTCATAGCAATCCCTTGTTTCATACAAGGGATATGAGACACCGGGGTTCGGCCAGTGCTGTCTCAAGTGATGCTCTGTAGAACATTTTGCAGATGAACGTGCCATATGTGACAGCAGGATGATAAACAATAAAATTGAAAGGCACGGTGTTTACTGACTGGAATTCGGCCTTCAAATTATATTGATTGTAATTTCTCCAAATATTATCTGGGAAACAACGCGACCCTTCTTTGAGACACAGCAGAGAAAATAAAGGAAAAAAAGATACATTCTAATGACACTGTATGAAACTGAATAGCACTCAGCAAAGATAAATTAGAGAAATATATGTTCAAATTTGTCATTTTCCATAAGGCTCAATGAATCAAATATGAACTTACAGGCCATTTTTTAGATACTAAACAGGTCTTGTTGGCTTTGACTTTTTGGCAAGAGGTAGTGAGCTACTGTTTCCAAAAAATCAAGCTTAAAGTTGAATTTCTCAGAGCAATATAATCTGTTCTGTTCTGCTGAGCTCATTTAAATTAAGCCTAGAGAATTGCTAAACACTAAGCTGAGATCTCAGAGGGGTGGCGCTGCTCATACAGATAAAGATTCAAGAAAGAATACTTCAGTGAGTATTTTGAGTCTTTCCTGAAATGACAAAAACCTTTTATCAGCATTATTCGAGTTCTGTTTACTGCAGTACTCACTTTCTTACTTTTAAGTAAACAGTGATTCGAAAAAGATAGAAAACTTTACAGTTAGCTACTCAATATTTTTAACAGTATCCTTCTTGCAAGAACAGATTTTGAAAACTTGATTATGGCCATGATTATTTTTTGATATTTTCCTCATTTGCATATAGTTGTGAGTTTGATTCCCACTCCTGTTCTTTACTTGCTTTGTGCAGAATCAGTTCCAATTTTCGTCTTTCATCATTATTTCACAAGAAAAAAAAAAAACCTTCCGTGGAAGAGCCTCTTAAATGAGAGATTCTTCCAAGTTAGTACATGAAACGACAAACTTTCAATCAAGAAATAGGTGATGATTACTGATTTTTCACCTGAAATCCTCAAAAAATCAACACTACAGGTAGATTTTAGCATTGAGCAGCGCAGTACTCGACAAACAGATCCCCCCCCCCCACTAGAACTTTATTATATTGAGAGTGGCTCTCAATATATAAAAAAAGAAAATTGTAACTGAAATGACAAAGGGGGCTACAACTCACATAACATCTCGCACATGAGGTGAACACCTTATCACTGTGCTCTTGAATTGTTAGGTGTAAATTGAATGCTTAGAGGCGGATCAAGATCAAGGAATGCAATTTCGAAACTTTTCAAAGGGTTTTGAGGGCCCCATACCATAAATCTATTCCCTTTATCAATTCAATGGGATATATATATTTTTATTCGGTATTCTATATCCCTCAAAAAAATTTCCTAACTTTCCAAGGATTAGTCTCTTTCATAAAAAAGTACACCTCTTAAGTTGATCGTTCTACAGATAAATTACAATTCTTTCTTAATGAGAGGCATAAAATGAACTTACTTTTGAGCAGAGTAACAAGTGGCAGCTGAACGAAAGACTTCTTCTTTTTTTGTCCGACCATGGAGTACCCAGACCCAAATTGGTCTGTAAACAAAAAGGAGCACATAGCTCGAGCTGTTTCTCGCAAGTCTTTGCACTTCTTTGACAGAAGTAAAGTTTCCTGCAAGCAAACAGGAAGACAATAGTCACTGATCTGGGTTTCCACTGACTTCAAAGAAAGATATGCCCTCGCTTTCCCACATTTTCTCTGAGAAATCCTCTGAATTTAGTAATGAGTGAACATGACATGCATCGAATAAAAGAAGGACTATTTCTGCCTGTATTTTAAAAATGATCTCTAAGTTTTCAATGTTTTGTTACACAGTTTAAAAATCCTTTAAATCGTAGTTGTAACTGTTATGATTGCTCATAAGCCTTGGTTCTTCCCTTCACGTTTCCTGCTTTTCATTTTCTTCAAGTCCTGTATACATCCTGATGATAATTATTCTTTCAATGTAAATAGTGAAGCCTTATAAGGGCAGTAAAACGATATCTTAAATGTATGGGCATACTGTTAAAAAAAATTAGAAACATGAGGCAATATAATTTTCTAGGAGACTGGAAATACATGAGATAGGGTTATCTGGAGTGGAATGCCACCTTAAACATCTGGTTGGTCCTGTTGATATTTTTATCTCTACATTAGATAGAGCTGAACTTCAGATTGCACTGCATTTTTCAACTCTGATTTCAGTCACTATGCTAAGCATTAATTCTTCCAATAGTTTTGGATTTAAAATTTGTAGAAAAAACCAAGACCACAGGTTGTTCGTACCTCTGATTTCGTTACTGAGGCAACTTTTGGAGAGCGCTTGAAATTCTACAAAGGATAAATCTTTAAAATCTTACCAGTTTTTGTTTCCAGCCTTTCATCTTGAGTAATTTTTCTGCCTTATTTAAATCATCCTCATCATTAATAGGAAAACAGGTGAGATTTGGATGCGCCTTAATACTATCAATTGCTGCTGAAGTGCCAGGAATCCCCGGGCCCAGTTTAGTAACCATGAGTGGTAGCGTACGCCTTAATACAAACAATGTTTCTGAGGTAATAGAGAGAAAAAAAACAGCCAATCAAATGCAAAAATCAGGAGGGTAAGAGAAATACTATTGCTTACAGCTTGAACATGTTCGAGATTACTCATGCTACTTTTAAATTTGTGTTCACAAACAGAGACCGCTCCATTTTCCAGATTTCAAAACAGTTTCATCAACAGTTACTTCTATGAATTGTGGCAACCCAGATTAAATAAATGCAGAATCATGGAAAACTATAAAAGTTTTCACATCCACAGACAAGGTTTAAAAACAAATTATGGAATAAATTATTTACATGTTACACTTATAAGCGACCTTCTTTTTTTAAAAAAAAAAAAAAAAAAAAAAAAAAAAAAAAAAAAAAAAAACACCTTTTTAATGCCTAATTAGGCGGAAAATAGAGAAAAACTACAATTGGGACTGAGAAATCTGAGACTTTCTTTCACAATTTATTGAGAACCAATCTTTCTATTTTTGGTAACCAACCCCCCCCCCCCTCCATCAAACACACCGAAGTTGGGATGTTAAATGTAAAAGATCATTGTAGCATAAAATCGATAATCTTGCCCTTACACTGCTTCTATTCTAAATTTCAGTGTCTCAACAATGCGAATGTTTTAACACATGTTATGGATGGATAAAAGTGAATTTGAAAAAGAAAAAAAAATAGGCACATTAGAAAATTACCGGCTTGATACAAGTCTTTTTGCTGTGCGTTCATCTTCCGCCATTGTGTGTGAAATGTTGTTAAACTTTTTGAGGTGGGCATAAAAAGGTTACTGAAATCCAAAGAGGCAGAGGGACCGGAACTTGATTCAGATGTAGGGCTCATAAAACATTCCTCTGCATTGGTCTTTGAAGTATGGGATTGCCTCGATTTTTCGTGATCCGAATGGGCAAAGAAACTGGAACTTGATTCAGATGTAGGGTTCATAAAACATTCTTCTGCATTGGTCTTTGAAGTATGGGATTGCCTCGATTTTTCGTGATCAGAATGGGCAAAGAAACTGGAACTTAATTCAGGTGTAGGGTTTGTAAAAGATTCTTCTGCAATGGTCTTTGAAGTATGGGATTGCCTCGATTTTTTGTGATCCGAATTTGATGAAACTTGAGCCGAGGGTTCCTTTGCTATATTTTGGTGTGACTTGCAGGTTTTGACAAGCCTGATATTTGAAGGGGGTTTTGTATTCTTGGCAGAACCTTCACCGTCTGCTGTGGAAAAAAAAAAAAAAATTAATATTATAAGCTCAATGGAGAAGTAGCATTTCAGTTATTAGATATAAAGTATTACCTACTTGTACAAGGTCCAAAATAAGAAATAAAAGAAGGTTCAGAATAATGCTTACCCTCAATGCTTTGTACTGCGCATATTTCATTAACAATAAATAGGTCCAGTAGGTATTGTTAATAAATGTGCAGTGCAAAGGCATTAAGAGGAAGCGTTATTCTTAACCTCCTTGTATTTCAATTATATTTTAATGCTTGCCCACACATGTTTAACAATATGGGAAAAACCTCAAACAGAAGTCTTAATTGAAAGCTGAAGTCATATTGCTAATGTAATAAAAGAGAACTCACAGGCGGAATCAGGCCACATGGCATGGAAGGAACCTTTTAACCTCTTACTGACTCGGATGAAAAAGTAATGAAGGTTGGGTTTGTTGAGTTGACTCATAGTAAGCAGAAGTATCCAACTGAATGGCATACAAGGCACTGTCAAATGCAAAAATTCCTTAATGCATCATCAGTCGGCTGTACTGCTTCCAGCAACAAAAGCAGTATTACTTCATACATATTCCTCTTCATAAAGATGCAGAATTTCTCCGTCCTGGGATGCTCTCACTCACTACCTTCGAAGGAGGATATTTGTGTAGAATCAATTGATGATCTGTGCGCTGAACTTCAGCACTAGAATATCAGAACAAATAAGACACTTGTTTCCTGAGAACTATACTCACCAAATAGGCTCCTTGATGCATTGCAATGAGATTTCCTGATTGGGGTCACTCGTTTTGTGGGCGGTGTTGGATACTTAGGTGTAAGTGTTTGGTTTGATCCAACTGAAACAAGGGTTGAAATGTATTCATTTTTACAAAAAAAAAAAAAAANAAAAAAAAAAAAAAAAAACACAAGACAAAATTGCTGAAACACATTGTGATCAAGTTAGATTAGGTTTTAAACCCTGCCCTTAGAATACAAAAAAACAAAAAAGTGGAAGAGGGGGGGGGGATTTGCTGCCTTTGAAATTAAAGTGATTCAGATTTTGTGTGCATAATTATGACTTACAATGAAATCAGTCGATCAGGAAACTTTGGAGTTCCTTCAAATGAGGGTTGCAGAAAGTTCTTTGCCTTCACCTTTTTTTGAGGCAGCCTTCGCATTTTCTGAGATTGTCTTTACATTACTGTCCGCATAAGATTTGCATGATTCACTATTTCCTTCGCATAAAAGAGCCCGCTTGAATATTTCCTTCTCAAACAAGATCATGCTAAACTGTTTTCTTTGCATAAGAGAGCGCATTACACTGTTTCCTAAGCAAAAAGTGATGCGCTTTGCTGGTATATGCTGGCTTTCTGCCTTCACATTTTTTCCCCTTTTTCCAGGTTTCTTTCACATTCTTTTACCCCTTTTCAGGTGCCTTCACATTTGCTTGGCGATTGGCCAGTCGAGCACTTTCTGCACCCCTGCTTCAAATTTACAATTACACAAGGCTTTAAGAACTCTTTGTCAAGAAAACATACATAAAAATCAATTATACACTAACAACCCTTAGTTATTGCTACAAACAACTTGATAAGTTCTGAGGGCAGTAAAATAGGAGTTGTGTATTTCAGTTAAATGTTCAAACTTACCTGGTGAATCATCTTCAGGTAACGGAGAGATTTGAGCTTGTCGGAAAGATCTCCTCCGTATTGGAGTAGTATTTTCTTCAGATTCTACATCTGCATCATTAATCTCTTCAAGAGATACACAACTCTTTGGAGACGAAGAAGTAGACTGCATGGCTGATGGTGAGAATGGGTTTTTAGGCATTCGGGGTCTCTTTTTCGGTACATCACTAATCTCACTGAGGTTACTTTCCTTTTCATCCAAGACATTCTTTTCAACAATCTTCGCTTTTGAGTAGCCTTCTGTAAAAAAAAAAAAAAAAAATTCTGAAGCTTGAGACAGAGTAGCAGCTGGACTCAAATACCAAAACTCCCTGCCTACAACCAACTGCAACTGATTATATACAGCCAACTGTAGGCAGTTTTCTCTCCCAAATTCCCTGGCAAATTTCCATGGCTTTTCCTTGACTTTCTAGGATTGTAAAAATTCTCTAACTTTTCCGGGTTTTCTCTGACATTTGCCACCCAGCTTAGAGAATGCAATAACTGGACACAGAGAAGCTTGTCAAATCATGGGATCAGTTTTTTTCAAATTTAAAAGGCTGTTCGTTTTTTTGTCCGATGTCATGTACTTTAAATGGAGCATTATTTTCACCACGGATGGTTTTAAACGTTTTTTAAGAAAAAATTGTTCCAAGTATTGAAAATAGATCCAATGAAAAAACAATCTTGTACAGTTTCCACTTTTTTCTGAAAACTGCAGCTATTTTTTCAATAAATTTCTTTCAAATGCTTCACTTTATTGATTGGCTTACTTCCAATGTTTGCTTCTTGACTTCCCCTCCTTTTAACAACTAATGAAAAAATTGAAAAAATTGAAAAATTGAAAAATTGAATGAAAAAATTACAAAAATAGAACCATTAATATTGCGCTCACTTACCAATGTTTTCTTTACACTTTGCTTTGTATTCAAATTCTTGCCATTCGCATGCGACATCCACAGGACTGGTGCACTCTTCAATTAGTTTCTTCGGATTTTTAATTTTTGGCCAGAGACAGATTTTGCCTTCTTTTTTCACCCAAGATTGCGGTACGACATTGACTGTCTCCTCTTCGGTTCCTTTTTCAGGAGGGAACAGTAAAACTGCATACAACCGAGTAAGCTCTTTCATGATTCCTATAATTAGCAACGGAATTTCAAAATGCTGCCTGATAATTATAATGGTAATTAAGTACATCTAATACATAAAAAATTTAAAATCAGAAAAAAGTAAAACATTAATGAATTATGAATCATACGTTTAACACATCAAAATATGCCACTTATTAAAAACGAAGAGTGAAGGTACAAAAATAGTTGCTCCAGTAAATCAATATAGATATACATTTTCTTTTTTTTCTTCTTCTTTCTTTCTTCTTCTTCTTTTTTTTTTTTTTTTTTTTTTTTTTTTTTTTTTTTTTTTTTTTTTTTTTTTTTTTTTTTTTTTTTTTTTTTTTTTTTTTTTTTTTTTTTTTTTTTTTTTTTTTTTTTTTTTTTTTTTTTT